AAGAGTGTCCATTTCGAAAGTGAAAACCTTCGGGATTATGGGTATTAATTTTATGAGCTTTGTCTCGATACAACCTCTAGGTATCTCGCCCCAGAGTATGCATCGAGCGGAAAACTGACCGAGAAATCAGATGTTTTCTCGTTCGGAGTCATGTTGATGGAACTCATTACCGGGAAACGACCTGTCGATAACTTCGGCACCATGGAAGACAGCTTAGTAGACTGGGTATGCATGATCACTTCTGCTCTCTTCTATCAGAATATGTGACCGGTTATACCGGTTTGATCAGGGTTTGTTATAGTTTTTCTTGTCTGGATTTGTATCTAAAGACGATTCTGATAAAATTCGCTTTGATATTTCAATATATACAGGCTCGACCCGTCATGGCTCGAGCACTCGAAGACGGAAACTTCGACGAACTATCGGATCCACGGCTCGAAGGCAGCTACAACAGGCAAGAGATGGTCCGAATGGTGACCTGCGCCGCCGCCAGTATTCGCCATTCTGCACGTAAACGCCCCAAGATGAGCCAGGTTAGTTACATTAAAACCAAAAGCCTAATAATTTCTAAACATTACCTTGACGTACACGTAAAGTAACATTTGTGTTTCGGAACATAAAAAAAAAATTAAACAGATAGTACGAGCATTAGAAGGAGAAGTGTCACTAGATGACTTGAGTGAAGGAGTGAAGCCAGGGCACAGCAACGTGTACGGATCAGGGACGAGTTCTGAGTACAGTCAGACAGCTTACCAAGCCGACATGAAGAAGTTCAGACAGATGGCTCTGTCGAGCCAAGAGTTCATGAACAGCGATGGCTCGAGCCATGACTCCGAGGAGATGGGTCCCACTGGAAACCCTAAAAGCCCAAACAAATAATACACCCTTTTGTCAAAATGTCATTTTAATGCATGGTCTCTCTCGTGTTTGATAAATTCGATTTGTACTTTTGATTGGGTTTCTCATTTTAGATTTCCTTTCAATTATACATCTTTTTTTTTGTCAAATTTGAGGAATACTATAGATCCGAGAATCACTGACGCCTATAAAAATATTGACGAATTTGTAATTAAGAAAAATATGATAGAAATAAACGGATTTATAATGTTTACTAAAATTTTATAATGACTGTCGAAAAACTAATATATCCAAATATCAATGATATTAAATGCTGTATAATTTTTTTAATAGTCGTTGTAAAATTTGTGATTTTAACTGAAAATCGGATAGGAACTGTATTTTTAAAATCTCAACATTTGATAAATAATTCGTCTATTTAGAGAAATTTTCATATATTTATATGTTAATCTATAAAAAATACAATATTTGACCAAAAACATTTGTTTCATCTGAATTCGATTTTTAAAATTTTAAAAAATATATATAATCTAAATCACATAATTCTCGACCCTAAAACTAATTTAAACTTTAATTTAGGATTATTCAATTATCTAAAAAAAAAATACAGTTTTGATGAATCTCGTGGAAGCCTCGCGAACTTATTTGTGCGTTTTTGTGGATGTTTTCACGCATACCGAAAAGATTAACGTGGACGATTCTGGAGGCTTGCTGAAACCGAGACAACGACGTTTACCACTTTTATAAACAATAATAATAATAATGATAAATATGAAGAACCGATAGAGATTTTGTACGATGTTTTACGCCTGGAGATCATTATTCCGATCCCGACATCGATCTCAGCCGGCAATCTGTTCCGAAGCTGTTCCCGTTGGGTTTCGGACACGCCGCTTCGTATCCAGCCGATCAAACTGTGCCGGTCTCATGGACGAAGCCAACAGACCCGTCGACAAAAACATGTTTGGCACCACACGCATATACATACAATATGTATACATTACATATATGTGTATATATGATTCGGAGTTAAACGTTTTTGTTTTGGGATTGAAGAGATGTGATTAGGAGTTCTTTTGGAGAAACATATGCCTCGAGGTGCGAAGAAGAAGGCTATGGCGGCATTTACGGACAGAACCAGTCTCTCCTTCTCGAGAAAGAAGAGATAGTAGTCCAACATCATCCCTCTGGTCAGTGAATATATATATATATATACATATATTATACCTAAATATATATATATATATATATCATTTGAATCTGTCGTCTTTGGATATCGAAAGGGTATGTCTAATTCATGGAATCCAAGCGAATACGGTGGATAAAATAAAGTTTTTATACATATATATAAGCATCTCTCCACCAAGATTATGCATGTTTTCAGGTTCAAATCTTTGTTCCGTATTTAGTGTGTATATATGATCAATAGTAAAATACTGGTTTAATTTCAATGTATATACACACACAGATGACGCTTCTAAGACGGGCACAAGGGCTGGAGGTGAAGAGGCCAAAGCAGAGCAGAAGACCGAACAGCCAAACACCTAAGCGACTATAAACCATAACCACTTCCCTTTGTAAACCATGTAACATATGTACCAAAAATACATATATCTATATATACATGGCTGTAATATAACACTCATATATATCTATACATATATGTATCTGTATATATATATGTAAAGCATCAATTTCCTTTTATACTCATCTGTTATTGGGTTCAAAAGCAAATGCGATGCACGTTTGTACGATTGGCGTCAGATTCCACAACGGGAGCAGTAAGGTGGTCGGTCCAAAATGTTATTTTTAATTGCAGTTTGACTTAAGATTAACCTCTACCAGCGTAGATTATTTCAAATTTCTATCTTGAAAAAAAATCTGAATATATTCTCGTACAAAATATTATGTACCCGATTATTGAAGTAATTAATTGTTAATACAAATCTAATCAAATTCAAAATCATAGAAGCTTGGTCTATAATTTTTGCCACCTGTCATTAGTACGACCAGTTGTTTTTTTTTTTTACAGATAAACTTGCTTAAAAAATTATCAAAAGCAAGAGTCGTGTTCAAATAATTATAGACAAATATAAAATAATTGTAGTGGATGATGATGATGTCATGACGTCACAAGGATTCCAAAGTCTCGTAGAGACAACGCAACACACAAAGGAATTGATTAGCAACAGCTCATCTTAGCCGTCCATTTTCTAAACCGCCTTATTTAACACCTTGAAAGGCGCGAAATCATCCACGTAATGACATCTCCACCGTTTATATTTTTATTAGCTTTAAATCTCGTCCGTCCATCTCTCACAACCCTATCTATAAACAGGTGTCTTTGGTATCGTTTTCCCTGTCTCGCTTTTGTAGCCGCTCATCCTCTTCTTTCTCCGTTCCACCAATCTTCCCAGTTTTCCTTAGATCTCTCCGCTATGGCGTCGATCTGCGAATTTTTGGCAGCCGAGCCTTGTAGATCGGGTCATGATCTACGTATCGGTGCTCATAACTTGAGAGATCGGACTTGTTTCGGTGTCGGGACCCCTGCTTGAAGGTGGATCGTGTTCATCACGCTGTCCAGTTGCGAGATCCGGTTCAGATCTGATGCCTCCAATTGATGATCTTACTCTATTTGTACGTTTCAGATTATTTCTTTAGAATTTGTTTACAGTTTTCTTACTGCAGTTCTGAGGTTATGGATCTGTGTTCATGTATCTGTTCTAATCATTAGTTTGGAATCGATTCATGTAGAGGCTTGTGAGGTCTTTCAACCTTGTGCGTTGATTCGGCGGAGATTTTGAGGTTGGTAGCTACAGTCGTATCGGAAGCGGGAGATTCGGCAGCTGGAGAACATGGTGAATATATGCTTGTTTTTAAATATAAAAGGATGTATAAGATGTTGGGACGACATAGCCCTGGCTTTGGCTTTTTGCGGGGCTTGAGTCCTAGTTACATCTTTGTCATCCGACCTTTGCCATGACAGGTGCGCTTGCATGGCAGGTCACCCATTCGTCAATAAAAGTTCCGTTGTTGTTTTAGAGGGGAGATCGCACGGGGGTTTGCCCGGGTTCTCCCCTCTCGTGTGTGTGCGCGCGCCTCGCTCCATATTTGTCCCTCTCTCTCTCTCCCACCACTTTATACTCTTTACCCGCCTAACATCTGGCATGGTTCGTCTGCTCCGCATACACACCTTCATTTCACTGATTTTCTATGAATCATGGGCATTCTGGAGTTTTCCATCTTACAGAACAAATTACATGATCAGCAGATCCGGAGTCCAATCATACTAATCTTTCCCAACTGCATTCGCGGAGACAGGTATCATATTGTTATGTGGCATAGGATTAATTTACTACTCTTATTACATCCAGTTAGAGCGTTATTGGCAAATTGCTTAAGGTTCCTTTTATTTAGATTCCAATACCCATAGAATGCATATTGTAATGTTGGAGGAAAGAATATGCATTAGATACTATCTCAAATCGACGCATCAGCATTCTGCGACGTACTATCCATCATGTACTGAGAATTGTCGAGTGGTCAAGATAATCTTGAGCGTTACAGCTTATATAATTCACCATGGATTTTATTACAATAATGCTGCATTATGATCGTAGTTCTCAATTATGATCCCTTCGTTTTAATGATTTGTTATTTACAGCTTCTCTTTTTGTCAAATATATGATAGTTTCTGCATTTTGCCGATGTCATAATGATGTATCGTTTTGATGTATCGAACCCTGAATACGTCCGAGGTGGGTTTTATAGTTCGATGTACATTGTTTGGAATTGTGTTTCAGTTGAGGTTATTCTAAAAATATTATTGTAGTACTTTGGGAATTCTTGTCAGAATGTCTAGATATCTGGCATATAAACCATTGTGGAGCCCAGAATTTGGGTACATCAAATGAAGGTTTTTTCGAGCTTGGGGGCCAAGGGGAACAATGGTGCAGGGGAAGAAATTTTGAAGAGGGGAGCAATCAACTGCCAGAACTTAAAAGAGAGGCGCTGTTATGTTTTGAATGGTGACACCCTGATTCGAAGGTATATATATGGAGTAGCCGTATTTATGGTTCATGGCCAATATGGAGCAATCACGGCTCTAAATCTTTTTGCCTGAGGGCTTTGGTCTGATGATCTTTCTTTTCTTTTTTATAATTAAATTCAGTGATTTGGTATCATTGTGTGTATTCCTGGGCATGCAATGGCTCCATAATGCTGTTGGAGTGTTCCCATGGTTGAATTTCACCCACTGATGGCTGAGGGCTTTGATCTGGTGGTGGCTTCATAATGTTGACAGATTTGAGTTGGCTTTTGTGTGGAACGTCCGGTATTGGACGTTTGGGTTCTCGAACGATCTAATGGATGTTCTTTCTTCCGTTATGCGCCAGATCCAAGTCTTGACTTTGCTGTCCGTCGCAATCGAGGGGTAGAGATTGGGTTGGAAACGGATTTCCCGAGGTCTATATCGTTGCCATGAGGCCAACGATGGGGAAATCTAAACCTATGGTTTCCCTGTGTCGTATTGGCGGGTTCCAGTATTCGTTGAAGTTGATGCTTAGTTATGTTTGGTGTCGGAATAAGTTAATGACATCAAATGCATAGATTAATGTTTGGTTTAGTAAGGAGGGGTTTTGGGTCCAGGTCATTTTGTGTTTCGGTTTTGGTTTAGTTTGGTTACTTCGGTTTTAGAAAAAAAAATAGTGATTAATTGGATTCTATATCGTTGAGTAGAAAATTTTGGTTTGTTTATATGGTTGGTTCCGGTTGTATATGATTTGGGTAAGTCGAGGAAGAGATCTGTAAGCTCAAAATGGTAGAGCGCTCTTTTCTTGGAAGATGAGAGGTTGGCGGTTCGATTCCGCCCAGATCTGTTTTGCTTTTCATTTTCTTTCTGATTTTCTGCTTTTACGAGAAACGTATTTCTGGGTGATTGACACTTGCACTTAGAGGATATTCCTTTGGAATAATTTTAGACTGTTTGGTTATAGGCCGAACAGTAACAATTGTTTGATCGGGTAATAGTAATAATAATAATGTTTCACCCTTTTTGCTTTGTATTCACGGTTTCTCGAATGTTTCAGGGGATTTATGTTATGGAATATTGCCTTCTGCCCATGAAATTATCGTCTACCATACTCTCCTCGAGATTTGCCGGTTTAGGATCGGCTGCTTTTTAATTTTGGTTTGTAATTTCTCATTCATTGTTTTATCATTTTGATTTTTTATATTGTATTTGAGTTTATTTGAATTTTTTTTTCTTTTATTTAAAATCGGCTCCTATTAAAATAATTTTTTTAAAAAAATAAATGGTCTCTTATTCAATTTTTCTATTTTTATTACATTTATATGCAATTCGAATTTCTGAGCCGAAAGAGGGAAAATCCCTAAGCAGACATCATTTCGAACTCAGCACCATAACATATCTTTAACCCCAAATGCTTTTTTTATTTATTTATTATTATTTACATGCCTGTTTAGTTTGTACAAATACGTGTGTGGTAAATATATTATTAGAATGGTTTGGTTTAGTTTGGTTAGGGTTTATTAGGGTGTGTTCTCCTATTGTGTTCTCCTATTGTGGAACATTGTGACCCTTCTTCTTATTGTTCTCTGTAAGTATTTTTTATTTCAATGGCTTCTGATGTTTTTATCAAAAGTTAATATATATATATATATGTTGAAATCAAATACTAAAATCGAATATATTTCTCAAAGAAAAAAAAAAGAACTTTGATGTTATAATATCTTCTTACCAAATAAATCATAATTTATTTATATCAAATAAGCTCCTAAAATGGAATGGGTCGTTAATAATTTTGATTATGACGGATTCTTTATGAAAATTGGAAATCATATCGTAAATTATTGTTAATAATAATAATAAAGCAACGAAAGATATTTAATGCCATGCATCCATCGAGACAAAAGTCCCTTTAATAAAGGGCACATAAACGTAATCAATTACGTCACAATAACTATTACATATATGTTTATATAATAAATAGACATGCATGTGTAATGTGTGAGTACAGAAGTTTTCATATTTATTTAATGGGACAACCAATATTTCTTCTAGAAAGACATTAATTAAATATTTTTTTGGGGAGGAAGAATTGTAAAAAGCCTGATTTTAATCTATTTTTATATATATTTTACACATTTGGCATATATATGCAAGTGTATATATCTTTGAATCCCAGAACAACACCAAATTTTTTTAAAAAAAATATTTGTATTGATGATCTTTGAATTGAAATCTTTGTTTTTTTTTTGGAATTTATAAATCTACCATTGACCTACCAAATGGCTTAATGAAAAAACAGAGGGACCAGCTTCGGTTGGTTCGCATCAACTGCTTTCATTGTTCTTCAGAACTCACCTTTCCTCCACGTTTATCGTGTTTTTTTAGTTTTCTTGGCATCCGAATCGCATGACAGTCGCGTGAAGAACAAAGCCCATCTCTCTCTCTCTCTCTCTCTCTCTCTCTCTCTCTCTCTCTCTCTCTCTCTCTCTCGTTTCTTTGCTCACGTTCTTGGGCTTCGCTTCTCAATTTGCTTTGTTGCTTAAGAAGAAGGATCATTATTATTACCAGGTGAAATTTCCCGCTCTTTGATCTCGGTTTCGTTTCTTTCGATAGATCTTGAGAGTTTCAGACATATATAGTTGGTGTGAATCTTCTTCCCGTCGCCATGGTTCTCGTAGCTAGGTTTTTATGGAGTTATCATTCATGGGTTTTTTTGCCTTCTCAAAGCCGTCAAAGTAGAAGAAATTTGGCTTTGAAATCAACAATCTTTAGTCAAATACGTGGAAAAAATATACGTATATATACGTATATATATATATATATATATATATATATATATATATATGTCAGCAATGGCGGTCAAAACAATGTTATATATATGCAGTTGACTTACGACTCTTACTAGAGAGTCGTTGTTATAAGAAGGACATTCGTAGTTCATTCGATCTGTTCAAATCTGCTCTGTGACATCTTTCTTTTATGTTTCTTTGAAGTTGCTTTCTGAAGGGTTAACACAGAATGTTCAGGAGGAAGACAACTCATCAGCCAGAGGATGATTCCGACAAAGATCTCAAGGTAATTAAAGATTCTTTATATATATATACCAAAAAACTTATATGCATGCATGTGTGTATCAGTATAATCTTAATCAGTGCAGTGTATATTTTTCTTGGACTGTATACATGAATTTCAGCTTAGAGAATCTTGAAATATATATATATATATATATGCAGGTCGGTGAATTAAGGGAAGCTATGGGTCCGCTGTCCGGACGCAGCTTGAAATTCTGCTCAGATGCTACGTTGAGGAGATACTTGGAAGCTCGGAATTGGAACGTCGACAAGGCCAAGAAAATGTTAGAGGAGACTCTTAAATGGAGAGCTACGTATAAACCCGAATATATCCGTTGGGTAATTAAGTATATATTATATGTTTCAATTATTCGAATAGATTCCGACCAAACACTACGCGTCTATATATATATATATACACATATAATTCTATAGTTTCAGTGTAAAATGCTAGCTTGTTAGGCTCCTTTTATCGATATTCTAGTAATCTTTTGCCATTCTCCAGCATGAAGTAGCACATGAAGGCGAGACCGGAAAAGTTTCCCGAGCTAAATTTCACGACCGGAGCGAAAGAATTGTGCTTATAATGAGGCCAGGAATGCAGGTGTGTGTCCCAACAGAGATTTCCTAATCTTTTCTTTCAACTGAAGCTCTCATTCGTTAACTCGGATTCTTGGGATCAGAACACGACGTCCGCGGAGGGTAATATCCGGCATTTGGTTTACCTTCTCGAAAACGCGATCCTAAATCTTCCCGAGGGACAGAACCAGATGTCTTGGCTCATAGACTTCACCGGATGGTCTTTGAACACTAATGTCCCCATGAAAACGGCCCGAGAGATCATTTACATTCTACAAAACCATTACCCTGACAGGCTTGCCGTCGCATTTCTCTACAACCCCCCAAGAATCTTTCAGGCATTCTACAAGGTACGTATAACCAACCATAAGGATATTATTATCATTATGTACGCATTTATATATATATATATAGCCCTAGCTAGAACTCAGACTTTTTCGCTTGTGTGCGTGTAGGCTGTGAAGTATTTCATGGATCCAAGAACAGTTCAGAAGGTGAAATTTGTGTACCCAAAAGAGAAATCGAGCGTGGAGTTAATGAAAACGTACTTCGACATCGAGAATCTTCCCCAAGAGTTTGGAGGGGAAGCCACGCTTGCGTACGATCATGAGGAGTTCTCCAGATTGATGGCTCAAGACGACATTAAGACTTCCAAGTTCTGGGGAACAGACCACAAGACTTCTCCAGCGCCCGAGGTCGTGTCTGGACCTGGCCGAGACTGAGTGTTTTGCCCAGCCAACAAGACAAAAAAATATAGTAGAATATATATATATATATATATATATATATAT